TAACTTAAGTACGTGCAAAGATACTAAAGAGCTCGGTTTATATAACACGCTGTGTTTTGCGAAAAAGTAGAGCTTCTGGTTAATATCACATGTGAAGTACTGATTAGTAGAGCCCACAGTTTCACGCAGATCTAGGGTTTGAGGCATTGCTTTACTATTAATGAATGTATGGGTGGTATCTAATCTATGCCACTATCTGTGTGCTGCTCTGATACACCACTTACTTAATGTGCACTCTAGGGGTTACTTTGATAGCATTTGCTATAGGCGGTGCTCGTAAAAGGCAGTTAGTCTTTAGCTGTTATAGGAGTGCATCAGGTTGCTTCTTGTAAAGCTCTATAATTGCCACAGTGAGGCCGTTTAAAGCTGCATGTGTGAACGCGCAGGAAGTTTAGTCGTGATCTCCTCGAGTGATCGCTTGGCGCAGCTTTCAGGCCAGCCGTAACACGGAGTGAGCTAGGGACTGATCATTGCTCTACGTCGCAACGTCTATGGATACCATCGAGCTGGATAATCCTTCTGCAAATACAGGTCAATTGCAGACACGAAAGAAGCGCGACGTTCACAGTAATGCTGTCTCTATTATCAGAAAATCTACCTGCTTATGTTTCAGCTGTATCAGTGGGTGCCTCAATAGTCTGTCTTGTACACGATATTTGTACAACTGATAGCCATTGGAGCACTACGCGCTGATATTATGTCGGGTACACAAGCCAAAGCGTTAGCCGAGAGATATAACAAAATGTGGATGTTAAATTCAAGCCATATGTATAGTCTGAGTACGATACAGCAGTACTTGAAGCCTCATGTGGACGGACAGTAGGCACGATCGAGGGATGTATAGCTACTGATTTATCAGCGATAGCGATATAAATATAGAGGAGTCTGAAAAACTTGTAGACACGATTAGAGAGCAATAAGCCTCTTTTTATAGACTTTATATGAGTCCTACACTAGATTTTACTTTACCATGCTGGTTCTCCACGGTGATGGTAAAGAAGATCCGGGTGTAGTTTTCTGTAAATAGTATTAATACGAGAGCATGTAAATTGTTTATTGGGCAGCCTTTTGTTAGTACTGAAGAGTGCGAACTAGGCGTTAGATATCAAAGTTAAATGTGGGGTAGCGGCGCGTATCGCAACCAGGCTTGCGGTCCTGGGCTCAAGACGTTGCTTAATGATGAACGGCGTGGGTGGACAATTCTGAGCATTGATTTCTGCTTGGTCAATTGCTTGGCGCCGCACGATGAAAACCGACTTCTAGTGAAATTGTGGTATTTATAGGCCTATCTGCATGGGTAATCACGTAGCGCTTGTGCCCCGTTGTAGTATTGACGCAGTTCCCATAGCTTCTGTTGGCCGCTTTAGACTCTATTAGCCGAGCGCCGTTTAACAGCCAATAGCGCGTCGTTGGAGTCAACATACAGTATCTCCTAGACTCCCAGCTCATCTTTGATCTAGACTATAGCGGCTATGAAAAGCAAAGTTATTTCCCAGATAAGGCATAAGGCACCTGAGTTGGTCCTTCTATCAAAGTGGATAAGCTTCCTGCAATTACTGGAATTTCCTGGAAAGCAGAGGGTCTATAGCTAGCAGCTGTATTGTGCTGGTCCTGGCTACGCGCAATGTCTATCGCCGCTATAGAAATCACTGTAGCAGCACTTCACGGCCGTCACTAGATAGCAGCGAGGCCAGGCGGAACTGTAAGGTGAGACACGTCGTCGCGGCTTGAGCCATGTAGCGCTGGCCTGTCGAAGCGGGACCCACTAAAAAATAGTTGCAAGGCCTGCCATTGAGGAGCCGCGTTCATACAACGGGGTTTGCGGCCCTACGACAGTCGCACACTGAAGCGTGCGAACCGCCATGGTAGTGTAAGCCGGCATTCATAATAAGACGGGCTCCGCACTGGCAGGAAACGCATATTGCACGCGCGCTTCTACACCGACAAACGTAATATATTGAGTGTTCGCTTATAGGCGGGGCTTTGCGAGTGCAGCAAGGGCTGGCAAGCCGGTTGAACAGTGGCGGCATCTAGGACGTCGATCCCCGGACCAGTCATCATAGCAATCGCAACGTCGAGTCTTCCGCGAAGGGGTACCACTTTACCGACTCGAAATCACATGCTGAGTTCTGTTAGCAGCACAGCCTCTCCCGAAACACGATGGCCGAAAGCATAAGTGTGCGAATCGTGGAAATGCCGGGAACTGGCAACAGATTCGCTACCACCCTGCTGTCTAAGCAGCATTGGCGGACGCTGCCCAGGAGCCTTAGTTGAATGTCTGCTGAAGCGCCATCAACTAACGCATAAAGAATTTACAAGGCCAGTTACGAGGAAGACGAGCAGATCTCGACGCCCGAAAGTACGAGCACAACAATTGTATGCTCATAGCAGTCGGTCTTTCACGCTGAGATTACGGCAGCGGGCCCGAACAGCAGGATGAGCACGGGCCCAAGACTCCGTAACCGACATGCTGCTGGCCGAAGTGAGCCACAAAAATTTATAACACCGAACCCCCAGTAGCGGCCGCTGAGGGCGAGGCAGAGAGTACCCTTTCAGTCTGTCGTAACTATTACGAATTTCAAGCACTTTCGCAGCCACTGTGCCCCCTTGCACGTTCAGCCGAAACTTTTGATAAGTTAGTCGGAATGTTGCGCGCCCATTGCGCGTGCGGATGCCGATGTTTTCTATACCACTATTCCCCGCTACTATGCCATCAAATTCGGCCTCCACTAATTCGAAATTACTGGTCCGACGCCATGCGTCGAAAATTATCTTGAAGAGGTTATTTAGCATTGGTGGGTGCCCTGCCCGCTCGCCATTAGTCCAAGTAATTTAAGCGTGAATGGCTTCCTAATTTAATGTAACAAGATATTTTTGTTGTTGGTCGCTGCAGCCCGGCGTATATACGCCGTGCCGTACCGGGAGGAAACGCGCCAGTAAGGACGCCAGCCCGACGCCCTGTTTGCAGCCAACCACATATGCTCATATTCGCTGTTGGGACTGCTAAGGAAATTTGCGCTGTATCCTCGCCATGGCTGTGGCGATCATTGCCATGAGCCTCGCTCACGGTGGATACTACCCGTACCGATCGCTTAATACAGACATTGCAGAAATAGAACTAGTAATAGGTCATGTCTCCTGAGTTTTTCAATCAGCGCTGTATGTTGTCACCAGAGACGACTTGCCTTCAAGACTCTGTGTTTGTACAGGCTTTTTTTAAAAAGCAATGAAATAGCCTGCCGAGTACGACCCGACAGTGGGCGGACGTTAGCCACGTGGCGGTGCTGTAATGGTGTGACACTAACAAGCAAGTTTCTTTATAGCAGTGCAATCACTGGGTGGTGAGCTGAACTGTGGGTGGCCAGAGGTAGAATAAAAACCAAAGATTGTTGACCCCGACCAGATTGCCACGTGGGCCCGTGTCGGAGAACATAAGAGAGGATAGAGGATAACAATGGAAATAGACAAGAACACGAAGGGACCACATCTTACAGAGAGGAGACGAGAAATATAATATAGAAAAAATAAAAATCATGTGTCGGGTACAATTATGTACTGATTCTATAGCGCCCCATATTGGTAGGCAGCGGTGACGGCTGCTGCTACTTTATAAGTAACATGTTTTCACTTATTTTTTAGCTGAACCATTTAATCCATGCCGTGTTGAGACCCGATACCTAGATCACTCTCCCCAGCTCATCTTTGGAATCTAGGACTGTGCTGCGTCTCGCAATCGGAGCCTGGCCTCGGCTCAGACAAGCGTGGATGAACTGCCTCGCAATACAAGACATTGCAGACAGAAGGAGGTCGGTATGCTGTCCATGCTTCCTGTGATTCGAGGCCTCCAAGTTAAGCAGGCCTGTTGGAAAAAATGTCCACCGTTTGGATGGCCTGTATTATCTGGGCGCTGAAGGATGCTGATCTGTCCTCTTAACAGAGTGAGTTCTAAGACTGCTCACAAGGCACGTTCTGCTGCTGTTGATGGTGCCTGGGAGCGTGTTAGAAAAAAGACACAGAGGATTCGGTCAATGATATGATGATCGATTCACATAAGAGAACGCCGAGGAACAACCATCGAATACGGAGATAAAGAATATACGCAAAAAATTCAGCCACTCGTCATATATAGTCATAACTCAACAAAATGCCTGTCTGACTGGTCTCACTGCACCTCCAACACACCATTCTAGCATCATTCAGAGCATATTTATTTAACACCATATATTTTCTGCATTTATATTTTGCTAATATTTTATTTGCTACTGCTAGAGCCATTTCAACCGTAAGGGCGGATACCAAAAGAGGAGAACGATACCGAGATCCCCAGCTCGAGAGTCAATGATTGGATTCTAGGACTCTGCTCATTGTACCTGCACTGACCATGATCCCTTCATGGATACTCTCTGCAATACGGACTCATTCAAAGACAGGAGGCAGGCAGTATGCTGGGCCAACCTTCCGCTCTCGCACCTCTAGAAATACCAGAAAGACCCTGCGTGTGCACCCGAGATACAAACCTCAGGAGTGCGGCATTTCTAGGATTAATAGGTGTACATATGCCGCGAACCGTTGTCGTGTCAGATAGTTGACACTGTGGGCAAGCGGAGCTAACCAAGATTGACCGTAGATTAACCCTGGCCCCGTGTGGAAGAAGAAGGTGAGTACTTATGTAAGAAGAAATCGCCATATAGGCATCTACATCATATGTCTGGTTTCAAAAACCTGACCGAGAAGTAGGTTTATGGTGATTTGTAAACTAGATGAATTATATCAATATCTATATAGTCCGGATTTGCATAATAGCTCCAACTACTTATTTGCAGCAGTTGTGTTGCGGAGGACCCGAGCTACTTACATTATTGTAACATCGCACACATCCTTCACTTTTTGTTTTTTCAAGTAAGCTGGAGTCCTATTTAATCGCATGCCCGTCGGGTAGGAAAAAGAGAACACGACCTCCGAACTAAACCACCAATTTGCAGATGCCCAGCAATACCCCACGCTCATTGTTGGATCTAGGACTTGACTCGTCTCGCGCAACATCATGTCCTCGTGGATACTCCTGCAATACAGACATTGCAGACAGAGCAGCAGTATGCTGTCCCTCACCTGTAGTTTCACCAGAGCCTTCAAGAATCTGTGTTTGTACGCGCGAGTACGACCATCAGCAGTGGCGGCTACTGCAAGATGGTCGTATCGAGTACTATATGGAGCAAACGGGCCGTTGTTAGAGTAATAAGAATTGAATGCCGAACGCCGGCGTAAGTAACGGCAAGGCACTTATAGTAACCGCAGATTACGCAGGCCCCGTGGCCATTGTGGAAGCAGAGGTTGAGGCATTCTGTTATAACATACGACGGGCATTGAACAAGGTTTGGGTCGGAATACTCAATGAGTGTGTTTAACGTTTACATGTAAATTACGTAAGGTATGCTGATTTCATTGGCCATGAAATCTCAAATATTCGAATATTTTTACTAACGACGTGCATAGTATTGTCATCCATTTGGGCTTATTTGTCACGATAAGTATCTACGAAACCCGGGTGGACTGGTTGCCCTGGCGAATTATCTGCGACATGCAAACTTTCCAGTGCTGAGGTATGCCACTATTAATTCCCATCGCCGTGTTGGAGACACCGATACCGTAGAACCCCAGCCTGCATCTGTTGGATGCTAGAGACTTGCTAGTCTCGCCAATCCATGGCCAGTCGTGGATACGTCGCTTGCAATACCACGAAATTGCAGACCACGCAGGCAGCAGTATGCTGTCCTGCCTCCTGTGATCTGAGCCTCCAGTACAGCGCTGTTGGAAAATGTCCACGTTTTGGGGATGGCCTGTATTTCTGGCCCTGAGGATCTGATATGCCGCAACCAGAGATACTGACTGCTCACTAAGGAACAAGCTCTGCTGTGCATGGTCGCCTGGAGCGTGTAAGAAGCAGAAAGATAATGTGCTGGACATACCTGAGCCGAATACCTCCGTGAGTGTGTCACGACACGATCACGTAATCACAATCTCAATGTTCTCTCAAATGTGCATGTGAATGCAGATCGTGATGTCACCATGTATCATAGTAACTGGTCAGCAGAAATACATTTGCTTGTGCTTTTACTCAACAGTATATTTATAGATATTTTACATGTATATATATATATGTAATATATATTTATATAATAAGGTGGCCGTTTTGGATCACTGTCTCTCGTTGCTTAGGATACTGCCAGGTCTTGATGTAGGTGTACCAGATTGATCGATGAACTTTTGGCTAATGCTTTGTGTGAGCTCATCACACTAACATTGCTGTTTTTGTAGGTCCTGAGCCAATTGCAACCCTCCAGGCGTGACCTGGCAGAGAGCCGGATCCCTGGACCACCCAGCTCATCTGTCTTGGAATCTAGGACGTTGGCTCATCTTCGCGATCCCCCGATGGTCCCTCATGGGAGGGTACTATCTCCGCGGTATACAGCTGACAGTCAATTCAGACAGAGCAGGAAACAGTATGAACTGCCATGGAGATCCGTCTCTCACCTCTACCAATACCAGACAGACCCTGCGTGTGCACCCGAGAGTACAACCCACAGTGCGGTACTGATGGTGTATCATATGGCAATCCGTGTGAGTTGAACTGTGCCAAGCGGAGTAACCAAGATTTGACCGTAGATTACCCTGCCCGTGTGGAAGAAGAGGGTGAGTATTATGTAGAAAGCGGCATCTACATAATATTGTCTGCCCATTCAAAACCTGACCGACCGAAAGTAGGTTTTATGTGATTTGTAAAACTAGATTGAATTATATGGCGAATTATTCGATTTCTTAAACTTCACAAACTCTTAAATATTTGTCAGCATTTGTTGTTTGGCGGCCATGCAGCTTCTCGTGTCATGAGTACTTATTACAGCCAGGTTCGTTCCATGCCTTCCTTTTCAGCTGGCCATTTAATCCATGCCGTGTTGGAGACCCGATACCAGATCCCAGCTCATCTGTTGGATCTAGGACTTGCTCGTCTCGCAATCGATGCCCTCGTGGATACTCCTGCAATACAGACATTGCAGACAGAGCAGCAGTATGCTGTCCTGCTCCTGTAATCGACCCAGTCCCTGGAAGACCAGGACCACCAGGACCACCAGGTATGACATTCTATCTCACCATCGCTGATGGGAAACAATCATGAGTTTGATTTGACCATTAACGATAACACAGAACCGAAACAAAAAGGTTTACGCAGCGCATTGGTCGATACATAATGCGCGTAGTACACTTATACATTATGTATGTTGTTACCTTATAGCTGTTGCGCATTGCAGTTTTGACTCGTTAACTTATTACTCGTTAACGTTCCTCCCCCACACAGGCTTAGAGGAGGCATGCAGGATTGCCTATGATGCAGGGCCTTGCGGTGATCGTGTGTTGCGATGGTGGTATAACAATTCCAGTGACCGCTGTGAGGCATTCAATTTTGGTGGATGCGGCGGAAACGAAAACAACTTTCCCTCGCAGCTGAGTTGTCACGAGGCGTGCAGCAGGACAGGAGGTCTGTTGCTCACTGCGACATTGTGAATGCGTGTTTGATTGGAGTTTGATAGGAGTGCGCTCTGTGCTATGGTCCTTGCTTCGTGCGTTTCCCGTTCGCGCTGCCTCCTAGCTGTGTTGAATGGCCGTCGCACATGCATTGTGAATTTTGATTGGATTCTTGGAAAATCGACTTGCATCTACGTCGTTGATTGAACACGTCGTTCGCGTGTGGCAGATGCTACGTGGCTTTTTTGTGTCTCGTTGCATGTTCACTCGCATGGCTTTATGGAATTGAATGTTTGTGACCGTGATAGGGTTTTCTACATGCACCGAGTGGATGGAAATAGGTTTTGCTTTCCAAAATGTGCCACTTAGGTGACAGTATTGATTGAGTTGTGTGACAAGCATGCTTTGCTCGTTGCGGCAAAGATATTTTGTTGCAGTGCTCAATCGAGATGGAATATCCCTCAATTATACATTCCAATACCTGCTTTAGTGTCTTCATATACAATGTCTTTGATCAAATGTACTGTAATGTCCCCATATTAGTGTACATTTATTCTTACTGGTTTCTTTACGTGGAATCTAATGAGGCAGTGTAACTAATCTAGATTCTGTAGCATGAATTTCTTCCAGTTGATAAACCTGATTGAAGCTTGACACTAGTGCTCTGAAATCCATACATGGGAATTGTGTTTCCTCATCAATTATTCGTGTTGGAGTAGCATGCACTTGCATGTGTTTGTTGTCTCAGTCGTGGGTTTTCGGCATGATTTACCGCTCCGCTATGCGCATGTGCGTGTTAATTCTTCGTAATCTATTCATTCTGTATTATCTGTACGTTCTACACATTCTATTACGTCACCTTCACCGTATTTGTTCAGAGTTTACTGCAAGTATTCGCTGTCATACAGCTGCCCATCGATAGCAGTCTCTTGTTATTTCTTCTCTATTTAGTATCTAAGCATTAGACAGCTGTCTAAAGGTGAAAACGACATATCTGCTTTCTCTGTTCTCAGAATTTCTCACTAATCGAGAAACAACCCGTTATATTGTTTGTTCACTTGTAGAAGTGCCAAATCCATGTCCTCTTGGGAAGCCTCTAAATCAGAGTTGTTCGGCAGCTAATCCGTGTCCTAGTGGTTACACGTGTAATGCGCCTGAAGCCGGGGCGCAGCCTGTCTGCTGCCCTGACCTGCCCGCTGTCACCACACAGGCCGGTTAGTCTACTGTTTACTGCTGTCTACTACCACTACTACTACTATTACTACTACTACATGGATACTCCTGCAATACGGACATTGCAGACAGAGCAGCAGTATGCTGTCCTGCTCCCATTATCGAGCCTCCAGTACAGCCTGTTGGAAAATGTCCACGTTTGGATGGCCTGTATTTCTGCCCTGAGGATCTGATCTGCAACAGAGATACTGACTGCTCACAAGGACAGCTCTGCTGTGATGGTCCTGGAGCGTGTAGAAGCAGAAAGATCTGTGCTGTGGCTGAGACAGAACCTCGTGAGTGTTCAGCACATATCAATAAGTAGATAGAAGTGTGTAAAAATCTCTCACATTTAAAAATACGTGCCTGTATTGCTTCTATAATTGATACAAGGCACCCTGGATTGTCAGTTCTAAATATAATAAATATATCATATATGAATGTGGTTAAGTGAGATCTGTGCTATAGAAGAAATACATTTTAATGGCTATCCCAACCTTTCTCTGAAGGTTATCAACCCTGTTAAACACTTATGGCGAATTTAAACAAATTGTGGTATGAATTATGGAGATGGGTTTATTTTAAGTGTAGAGTGCAGTTGTTTATTGTGTAATATGCATGGCTATGCAAGTAATACACTTATAGGAATGGCTATGCAGGTCAGAGTTGCGCACTGTTCCATGAGTCGTCTAGAGGAACACTGTACAAATCTAGACGTCTGCATATCTAAATTAATACGTGCACGCGTTTTAAAGCTTGTTTGCGAAAGTAGTTCGGTTTACTGTGAGTACTTTATGCCAGCTTGCGTCTGGGTGCTTGCTTTAATGATGAAGGGTGGGGGGACATTGCATCGTGCTTGCTCGCCGCGCATGGCATGGTTTTTGCTTCTAGGCTGCTCGTGCGTTTAGAGTGCACATGCTTCTTTAACTTTTAGCCGAGCCGTTTAACCCATGCCGTGTTGGAGAACCGATCCCAGACCCCAGCTCATCTGTTGGATCTAGGACTTGCTCATCTCGCACCCCATGTCCTCGTGGATACTCCTGCAATACGGAAATTGCAGACAGAGCAGCAGTATGCTGTCCTGCTCCCGTGATCGAGCCTCCAGTACAGCCGGGGCAGTCCGACGCTGCCTGTACCTGCAATACAGACATTGCAGACAGGAGCACAGTATGCTGTCCTGCTCCTGTAATCGACCCATGTCCCTGAAGACCAGGACCACCAGGACCACCAGGTATGACATTCTATCTCACCATCGCTGATGGAAACAATCATGAGTTTGATTGACATTAACGATAACACAGAACCGAAACAAAAAGGTTTACGCAGCGCATTGTCGATACATAATGCGCGTAGTACACTTATACATTATGTATGTTGTTTGCCTTATAGCTGTCTGCGCATTGCAGTTTTGACTCGTTAACTTATTACTCGTTAACGTTCCTCCCCCACACAGGCTTAGAGGAGCATGCAGATTGCCTATGATGCCAGGGCCTTGCGGTGATCGTGGTTTGCGATGTGGTATAACAATTCCAGTGACCGCTGTGACGGCTTCAATTTTGGTGGATGCGGCGGAAACGGAAAACAACTTTCCCTCGCAGCTGAGTTGTCACGACGGCTGCAGCAGGACAGGAGGTCTGTTGCTCACTGCGACATTGTGAATGCCGTGTTTGATTGGAGTTTGATAGGAGTGCGCTCTGTGCTATGGTCCTTGCTGCTTTCGTGCTTTCCCGTCGCGCTGCCTCCTAGCCTGTGTTGAATGGAGTCTCGCACGATGCATTGTGAATTTTGATTGGATTCTTGGAAAATCGACTTGCAATCTACGTCGTTGATTGAACACGTCGTTCGCGTGTGGCAGATGCTACGTGGCTTTTTTGTGTCTCGTTTGCCATGTTCCTCGCATGGCTTTATGCGAATTGAATGTTTGTGACCGTGATAGGGTTTTCTACATGCACCGAGTGGATGGAAATAGGTTTTGCTTTCCAAAATGTGCCACTTAGGGGACAGTATTGATTGAGTTGTGTGACAAGCATGCTTTGCTCGTTGCGGCCAAAGATATTTTGTTGCAGTGCTCAACGAGATGGAATATCCTCAATTATACATTCCAATACCTGCTTTAGTGTCTTCATATACAATGTCTTGATCAAATGTACTGTAATGTCCCCATATTAGTGTACATTTATTCTTACTGGTTTCTTTACGTGGATCTAATGAGCAGTGTAACTAATCTAGATTCTGCTAGCATTGAATTTCTTCAGTTGATAAACCTGATTGAAGCTTGACACTAGCTGCTCCTGAAATCCATACATGGAATTGTGTTTCCTCATCAATTATTCGGTTGTGGAGCTAGCATGCACTTGCAATGTGTTTGTTGTCTCAGTCGTGGTTTTCGGCATGATTTACCGCTCCGCCTATGCGCCATGTGGCGTGTTATTCTCCTAATCTATTCATTCTTCTGTATTATCTGCTACGTCTCTACACATTCTATACGTCACCTTCACCGTTATTTTGTTCAGAGTTTACTGCAAGTATTCGCTGTCATACAGCTGCCCATCGATAGCAGTCTCTTGTTATTTCTTCTCTATTTAGTATCTAAGCATTAGACAGCTGTCTAAAGGTGAAAACGACATATCTGCTTTCTCTGTTCTCAAGAATTTCTCACTAATCGAGAAACAACCCTTATATTGTTTGTCACTTGTAGAAGTGCCAAATCCATGTCCTCTTGGGAAGCCTCTAAATCAGAGTTGTTCGCAGCTAATCCGTGTCCTAGTGGTTACACGTGTAATGGCGCCTGAAGCCGGGGCGCAGCCTGTCTGCTGCCTGACCTGCCCGCTGTCACCACACAGCGCCGGTTAGTCTACTGTTTACTGCTGTCTACTACCACTACTACTACTATTACTACTACTACCACCACCACCAGCAGCAGCAGCAGCAGCAGCAGCACCACCACCACCCCACCACCACCAACGCCACCACCCACCACACCACCACCACCACCAGCAGCAGCCAGTACCCACCACCACCACCACCAACCAACACCACCACCAACACCACACCACCACCACCACCACTATCACCACCACCACCTCACCACTACCACCACCACCACCAGCCAGCAGCCACCACCACCACCAACCACCACCACAGCAGCAGCAGCAGCAGCAGCAGAAGCAGCAGCAGCAGCACCACCACCACCACCACCACTACCACCACCACCACCACCACCACCACCACACCACCAACACCCACACCATCCACCACCACCACCACCACCACACACCACACCACACCACCACCAACACCACCATCACCCCACACCCACCACCACTACCACCACCACACCATCACCACCACCACCACCACAACCACCACCACCACCACCATTCACCACCACACCACCACCACCACCACCACCACCAACCACCACACCACCACCACCACCCACCACACTACTACCACCACCCACCACCACCACCACCACCACCACCAACCATCCACCACCACCACCACCACCATCACCACCACACACCCACACCACCACCACTACACCACCAACACCACCACCACACCACACCACACCACCACACATCACCACCCACCACCACCACCCACACCACCACCATCCACCACTACCACCATCACACCACCACCACCACCACCACCACCATCACCACCCACCAACACCACCACCACCACCACCACCACACTACCACACCGCACCCACCACCACCACCACCACCACCACCACCCACCAT